TTGATCAAGTTAGGTTACAAATGCGGGATCATCCCCTTTTTATAGGCTCAAAGCCAATGTTCTAGACACACCCACATGTGACACCCTCATTGGCTAGAAACTTTCTAGCCTGACTAAGAACCTCTAACCTTACATGGTTCTAGAATCCTCCGCATAATCCAACCTTCTCAATACTAGCCTAGAAGCCTATTAGGTTCCTCGTGAAGGTCCTAGAGTTCTCTAGAAGCTTTCGGGCCCAAGGACACAAATAATGTGTGTCTAAGCACCTAGTACACAAGGCATTTGGGCTTAAAAAATCTTGGGGTGTGACACTCAGCTCTATACAAACCACACCCTTCTTTTAATATCCCTTAAATATTTATTAAAAATAATTATTTTAAACCAAAAAATCATAGTTAAAATTTTCAAGAATATAAATGCCATATAATTGGAAAAGTTTTTTATGCGTAAGAGGACGTACTTCTGCACTTGCGCCCCAAGACCACACAAAAACAATTGGATGATTTTACTAAGCAACAGTACTTGTTTGGGGAATTTGCTAAATTTTTGGATGACTTTCTTTACATTATATTTGTCAACTTTTTCAAATTTTTAGCCAAAAATTTGAATTCCCAATCATCCATGAGAAACTATTATATGAATGTTACTTAAGACAACAAGTCATCCAATATTGTGAGGCCCCATTCCACAGTTCGTTTAATTCTTTGTGCTTCAACCAACCAAAGTCCCTCCTCTTATGGAAGGACTATGTTCTTGGGTGAAAATCTGCCAATTCGGATTAGATCGGGATCAATGGGTAATTCCAGCTTCAAGAAATTTTATTTCCACATCTTCTAATTTCTTTGTAATAGGGCTTGATCCAACTCAGGAGTTGCTCGAGTCAAATTACGCTAATCGAAACGGACCCCTAGAGGATTCAATTTTGATTTTTACAACAATATTCCGGCACCTCTTATCATACATAGTTGTTTAATTATTGAGATTATATACTCTAAGACCATTTACTTTTAGTATAATGTTACCATGACAGCTTAATGTGTGTCACATAAATTGAGAAGTGTTATTTTAGATTTTATACCCAGTCAATAGCATACTCCTAGCCACGTAATTTTACATCTAATAATTGATAAAGATCGTAACCTTCATATACCAAAAATTAAATGGTTCTATTGTTGTATTTCCTTAATTTTTTTGGATATAATCAACACCCCACCCTCATTTTCAATTTCAGGCAAGAGCCAATAGGATTCATGCGGGGGGGGGGGCTAACTCATATTACATATTAGAATACAAAATTGTGTAGAATTCTGGTAACAAGAAAATATTCCATACTTTTATGAGTATACGATAGGGCACTCAAATGCAAAATCCACATACATATTTACCTTGATGTATACTCAAACCTCCATTTTCTTTCTGGTGGGCAAGTTAATCAACTCCACTTCCCATGATAAATATGGCCAATTGATGTTGGGCATGAACAACCAAATGTTATACTCGTCCGGCCCCATTTTAGAATTAGTGCTAGATAATTTACCATTACAAATTTAAATGAATAGTTATATGAGGAACTCTTGTTTTACTGGCCTTATAAGATTTAGGGAGCTGTCTTGAAAGTTCTTTACATTCAAGTCTGATATAGGATTCTCAAAAAAATCTTTACATTCAATTATGATATAGGATTCTCAAAACAAGGCATGGTACTAGTGACACAAGGACACGTTTTCGTATTAGTGCTTGTTCATTTGTTGAATCGAGCCCCAAAATTTGTACACTGACTTGATTTTAATATATTTCAATGAATTTTGTATTAGTATTCAATTTTAAATTTTTTTTTAAGAAATTTATATAATGAGATCATTTATTTTGATACAAGGAGATCACAATCATTATTGACCATTATATGCGAAATCAGATAATTAGAAATGTACCATTGATTGAGCATGAAGTTCAAAACAAAATTTTTTGAATGTTATGACACACTTTAATCTATTAAATTTAACATCTAATGGCTAAAAGTGATTGTCTTCTTTGTACTAAAAATAAATGATCTCATAGTATACAACTATATTTTTTAAAGCATATATGAGTGTATGTTGGGGCACAAGGAGATGTTTTTGTATTGGTCAAGCTTTCTACGCTTCTCCTACAACATAAAACTTATACACTTCCTATTATCCAACCGTCCATTCTAAACGAAGGGCTAAGATTGCCTCGATCACAATTTCATATCCCTACACTATTTTATTTTTAATCTTTTTTCTATAAACCATTTTAAAAACAAATTCCGGGTGTCCAATCCTTGATTAAATTTGCACTTCTAAAAAATAAAAATAAAAATATTCCAAATAAAATAAAATCACCAAAATGCCCCTGAAATATTCAAAGGGTATTTTGGTTATTATATTTTATCGAAAAATTATTTTTGATATTTTTTGTAGGTACGCCCCAATGACACGTACCAAATTTTATATTCATATAATCTGTATTTAAAAAAAATAAAAAATAAAATAATCTGAGACGTCAAATCTAAGATCAAAACGTAAATGACTCACTTGATCAAAATTAGACGGCTGGATGGTAGGAGAAGTATAAATCTTCTATGGTGTAGGGGAAGTATAGAAACCATTCCCTTTTGTATTAGTGTTCAATTTTAGGGCTTTTGGTTTTTTTAAGCATATAAAGTGTGAAATTTGGATTTTTTTTGTTTTTTATTACGTTGGCGCCATCAAAATTTCGGGTCCAAAAAAAAGAAAAAGTTCATATAGAGCTGAGGCTCTAACAATCAAATTAGAGCGCACCTCAAAAATTTCACTAGAAGAGATTGTTTTGATGCCCAGATATCTTCAAATTGATCATTTTGACATCAAGATATATGGACATAATAAAAAAAAATGGATTTCAAGTTTTGGAAATAGTGCATCTTGTAGCACATTTTTAGACCGTTAATTTTCAAGATTTTCAAATTTTCATAGATTTGCTTGATCTACATGATTTTTTAATGCTTTAAATTTTATAATTAAATATGAAAATATATTTTAAGGCTATCATAAAAATTTCCAATATTAAAACCGCATTTCTTGATACTATTTGAAGGTACGCTTTGCTTCCAGTATTAAAACCGCATTTCTCGATACTATTTGAAGGTACGCTTTGCTTTGATTGTTTAGAGCCTCGGCTCTATACAACACCCAAAACATAACTCCTAGGTTTTACCCAAAGGAGCAATGAACAATAAGCTCCCTTTGGAAGTGGTATATCTCTTTGCTTAAATTTGATTTTTAAATACAATATAGCCCTATAAATTTCATTTGCATGACATGAATGAAATAAAAGCTCAAATTGTTTGAATCTTTTTAATTTTCTAAGTTCCTATAACAAGGAATGTGTTAACTTTTTACTTTTGATATTTTAACAACAGATTTTTATTATGTTTAAATTATATATAGGGAGAATATCTTCATACTCTAGATTTTTAGGTTTCATTTCACAATACACGTAAGATTTGTAAAAATTGTAGATTTTATTTCTTCTAACCTGAGCTGATTTAAACATATTTTCTTAAGCCAAATAAATCTAAAACGACATGCCTTTTCTAAAAATCATCCTTCCAAACTTCTAGAGAGCAAAGCGCTTTATGGAGGTGAGAGGTTATCGGGAGGAGAGAGAGGTGTTTGGAGAAATACGGGAGGAGAGAGAGTGAGAGAGCTATAGGAAGAGAGAGAAATAAAGAAGTTTGAGGTATAGAAGTAAAGAGAAAAAATATTGAGTTTAGAAAGAGCATGTATTTATCACATTTGTTTAGATTAAAAATAGATTTAAAGTGGCCAGGGATTAGAAGATATCTTTTGAAACCTTGAATTTATCAACAAATAAAACATAAAAATAGGATTATGGAGATATTTACTTTTTAATTTATTCAAAGAGATTCAAAACAAATAGCTAAGGGCACGTGTGTTATGCAATGCTCAAGATGGAAAATTAACAAAAATGAATTTTTATAAATATTTTATTTACAATAAATACAATAATATCTTATTTCACTTACTATTTGCATTTATGCTATTAGTTTACATATTTAAATGATTGATGTACTTATCATATTTGATATTATTCTTAAAAATCTGGTTATTATTTAGACTATTTTTATTACATAGTTATCCATTTTGTCGAGTTAACAATTTATCTGTTTTAGCAGAAATCATATTTTTCTAGGGATTCATGTCGGATTTAAAATTCAAAGGGAAGGGATGTTTTTTCCTGTAATTTATTTTAAGTCGCTTGATTTTAGAAAATTTGTTAGGTAACTTAAGTCACATAGATAACTCAAAGTTTACATTCCTATCCATTCCAAGGTGACATGCGAGCATTATGGATAGATATGTATGGATATATTTTCTCATTTCTATCCATTCTCATTCTCCCAAGGTGATATGCGAGCTTTATGGATATATGCGAGCTTTATGGATATTGTATATATTTTAAACCAAAAATAATTAAAACTACAAGAACTTTTAAAATGTAAAATCAAACTAATTTAATTTGAAAGATAAAAAATTAATGTAATCCAAAAAGTTTAAAGATTTAGCATATACTCCTACACATGCAAGGAAACATAGATTAGTTGGAATGATTGAAACAAATAAAATATTAAATCGTTAAAAATTCATAGTTTGAAACCCTGAAGTAAGGCCGACATCTAAACTTTATCATGAAATACAGTTGTGATATCTTAAATTTTTAGGATTATACGAGAATTTACTTTTATATTTAATAATAAAATTAATATAATTTTTTTAAAAAATGAACAATTCGGATAATGTGTTGTAAAATTAATTATTTTAAAACTTATTTTTTTTTCTCCATATCTATTCATTGGGATATCAATATGATAATTTAGATGTTTTTTCAACATCTAAATAACATTTTTAAAAGATAGACATTCACCTCAATTCTACATTAGTAAAGACTACTTAAAAGTCGAATGGAAGAAGGGGAAACTTAGGCAACAGATAGATACCTATAAATACCTATCTTCTCTCTCTAAATTCCCCTACTCTCTAATAAATTCCCCCTTTCTCTGCTGGCCCGGTTCGGTGTTCGTTTTGCCTCCATTCAAAAGCTCCTTCTCTCTGTTGGGTATTCTCTCAAAACTCCTCCTCTCTCTATAAGCTCGCAAAATTCCTCCTCTCTATAATCTCGCATTGTACGTTTCTTTTGCTCCTCTCTCTCAGCGCACTTTTAACAATGGAGAGCCTGAGTGACGACAAGCAAATCTTGGTGGCTTCTTTTATGGAAGTCGCGGGTGGTGAATCTACCAAGATTGCTCTGCAATTTCTTCAGGTAATGCTCGGTACCATTACTAATTGGAGTTCATACTACTGCTTTTTCTGAAAGTTTTCTCTCTCTAACTTTCAACTTAATTTGGTCTGTTATAATGGTGGTTTTAGTATTGCGCTTTGTCGTTATCATGGATCATTAGACATTTTGAATTGTTTAGATTTCTAGAGCCTTCAGAAAAAAAAAGGTTTAAGTTTTTAGGGTTTTGGTGATGCAAGAGGAAACCTTAGTTACTTTCCTCTCTCTTGATAAATGAATTGGGTTGCTTGGTTTCTGCTAAGATATTGAAAGCTCCAAGAAAACCCTAAGCTTGCAGTAAATCATTGAAGAAAAATACATGTGTATGGAGTGGTATATGTCTTTCCCCTCTTGGGTTGAACTCGATAAAGTTACTTGTGTTTATGAGATGTGATGACGATTTATGGGATCAATTTTGAGATTTTTTATTTGTACTTAATTGATTTGATTTGTAGTTATTCAAAGTATCCTAACTCAATGCCGGATCAATTGATATCAGTTATTAAAGTTGGTCCTAGTCAGTTCTTGGATCTCAAAACCAAGAGTCAATTATGTTTGTCATTGATCCCTATCTGTCTCTCATGTTAGCATGATGCGATTTCTTTAAAACTTAGTCATTTATAGGCATATAATGCTCCTCTGTATGATATGCCGCAGAGACATCCGCCACTTCTTATGTACTTCTACTATTTGTTAATATAAAGTTAATTTTTTTCTCCAAAAAAAAAACAGATAAAAGTACTGAAAGTCCCAATGGTCTCATTCCAACATATCCTTTTACTGAAAATAGTTAATCGCCAACATCTATTATTAGTAGATTTGGAATGCAACATGCAACGGCTTGCCTAGCGCGAAAGCTTATACATTCCCTTCAAAAGTCTAATAGTTTTTCTCCTAGCTATTTGTGAATTCTTAGCCAATGAATTTGAAATCTGTTGTCCCTAACTCCTAAGGAAGCAGATAAATTTACTGCAAATATGAATAGATAAATTTACTGCAAATATGAATAGATAGGGTAATGAAAATATTTCTTGTTTTCTACTGGAAATACATATTCTAAATGGGATTTAGCGGAGACCTCTTATCATTGATGAACGGTTTATAATGTTGATTGTGCAGGCTACAAACTGGCAGCTTGAGGATGCCATCCAATTATTTTTTGTTGGCAATGATGGAAATAATACCAATACCAATGCAGAATCATCTTCCTTTTCACCACCAAAGGAAACCAATCATTCGCCTCTTCATGAAAGGTTTGCATAAATTTTGAAGTGTTTTCCATTCATGTTTATTGGTCTATTCATGCTAGGTCATCTTTCTAGTTTTGATTTCTCTGAGTATTTGCTGAGTTGTTTGCTCGAACCCCCCACATACCCACACACATGCACACACAAACACACATGTGGATTATTTACTATGCTTATATGTCTTTCAGTGAACAAGAAAAGGATGCGAAGTGGGAGGAATATGTCCGACCTCCTCTTCCTGTGAAACGGGAAGCTTTGTATGCAGATTCATTCATGTATGGGTATGATAAATGATTCTCTGTTATTTGAGGTTATTTTTGTTTCCTATAGATTTAAATCTCAGTCCTAAGTGATGAAGGTCCATTTGGCATGTGGCATGAGTGAGAGCTAACTGTAATTATTAAATGGGACCTGTCTCCTTCCTTATTGATCGGTATGATAGCTGTAGTGAGATATTCCTTTTCAGTAATTAAATGTTTCTTGTCATTAGTTTATGTTTGCTATGCGTCATTACTGACCAAATTTATTGCAATGCGACAGATAACATGTCTTTTTGAATTTTTGACTGGCAATGCATTTCATTCCATGCACAAAGCAACACAAATATAGGGAACTTTTTCGATCCTTGGTATATTTAGGATTGTGTTATTGACCATTTCAATCAGCTATAGAAGAATCTTAACAAAATAAGGTCAGCTGGAGGGATGTGCCCCTGGCCCCAGTGGTCAGGGTTGCGGAGCCACGACGTGATGTCAAGGATTCCATTCTTGCCCATTAACATATCCCCATTCCCCCGGAAAAAAAAAAAAGTCAATGAGTCGAGACAAAAATAAACTGTTACATAAATTTTAAGTATTGAGTCTTCTTTCTATGTACCTAAAAGATAATGTATTGGAAGCATGTAATATAAATATTCGAAATATTACGTGGAAATGTATTTATCATAGTTGGTGAGCTCCGAGATTGAGAATGCGGGAGGCTCAAAGATCCGTAGTTGAGGGAATGAGTTATTTACATTTTGAGGTAAAGGGATCAGGATCCCTAACATTAAGGGAGCGTGTTCCATAACTGCCCAAGAGCAAGTATTATACTGAATGGGATTGTGGTCCATCGAGCTTAGTATCGGGGCTCCCAATGATCAGATATCTACAGTATTCTAGTTCATGAGCAAATTCCATGGAACAATTATTTAAGAAAGTTTCACTCCAAAAAATTACTTATGTGGGTCCATTACAAAAATTGCACACCTACTTACATTGGTCTCCCTACATATGCACACGACCTCATTTTTGGCACCACTCTGTTGGATTGGATGATTCCCTCCCCGCTATCAATTGATGATTGTATTTAAGAATGCTGAGATAGGGAGACCTCACATTTCCAAGCATATATTTTATTCCATCACCAACAAGACACCCCTTGAGTGGCTCAATTTCAATAACCAGCACTTAAGCAACAAAAGTCTTTGGAGAGATGGTCAAGAGTCAAGAGCCAATGAACTAGCCCCAAGGAAGTTAAAGCCTAGTGATTGCCTCCTCATTCCTCAATTAGAACAACAACTCAACTATCTTTTTCTATCTTCTCCCATCTTCTTCCTTCTCTATCCTTGCTATCTCTTGTTGCCTTTCTTTGAAACTAGGTAAGTCACGATTCACAAGGTGTGTAAAGTTGTAAACTGTAAAATATATAGGAAATCAGGGCCTTTAAAAAGTTTGTAGGTCATAAAAATATGGAGATCCACACTCCATTGTATATGAACCTGAAAATGTGTTTGTGAAACTCGCTCTGAAAGTAGAAGATACTCAGTCGCAAGTTGGTAGAATAGCGGTCCCAGTTACTCGTGGAACCATGATTTTGGGCATACGGATATGGATCCCATTAACCTGAGATCAAGTTCCTCAATTACCTGTACCAATATCTCTATGCCCAAAATCCAGATGCTATGTCTCAGAGCACAGGATCTAGCTTCTGGAGTAGGAGTGACCCCCTCCTTAGAAGGTCTCGGTAACTATGATATTTATATAGTAATGATATATTATGCACTTGTTTGGATGTATTTATTATCGCTGATAATACGTTGTCTTAGTAAAATTAATCCTAATAATAAACTATATGTTGTTTGGTAGTGTTTCTCACCAAATTATCTGAGATATACTTATAGGCAGTTTTACATATAGGTTTATCTTTTACATATAAGTTTTTCTTTTTAAAAATTTGTTTTTATTTTATTCAAAGTGATTTGTTGAGAACCACACGTTTTATTCAGAAATCACTAAAATAGCTGAAAATCACCAAAAAAGTTAAGTAGTTAAATAATATTGTATATAATACAAGATATGTACCATACAACTACCAAAATAATATTATGTAGAGTATATATTAATTTATGATAAAATAGGTTTCTCTTGATAAAATTAATTGTCATCCAAACAAGCCCTATATGTATTTACCCTCTATACTACATATTATGCTACTTTGTGTACAATGTGTGATATGGATATTATTATTGTGTAGGAAACAATACTCATCTCCTTAATTGTATACTCACTCCTAATATTGTGATCAGTAGGGAAGGAAAAAACCTTAGTTTGGAAGGAAAACATCTGTGACTCATTTGTTAAAAAATCAAACTCGGTGGCCAATTCAGGTACTGCCAAAACCAAGTTGACTCTATTATTTGAACGGTGAACTCGGAAAAAAGACCAAAGCTTTCAGATTTCATAAAAAAGCAGGGAAACAATTTGTTGTCTTGGTTGCCATTTTAATGGTTTTTCAGCAAAACGAAACAGCACCCTACCACTCTTGCCACATGGGTGTTAGTGAAAAAAAGCACCACACACCACACACACATGCAAGCCATGTCCGCATGCATGCCTACACCCAAACCCACATACACACCATATATGACACACACAGAATGCAGTTCTCTTCCAAGAATCCATCTTAGAAAGGGATTTTGGATCAAAATTTGATAGGTAGATATGGTCGACCACCATGATCATAAATCTGAAAACAAAAAGAACAAGGATTTTCAACCTTGAAAATATTCTATTTCAAACTTTGTTTTTGGACCATTCATTTTAACGCTTAGCAGATCTCCAAATCTGCATTATTTTTCTTCATCTGCTAACTCATGGATCTAAAGTGGAAGTGCGGTTGAATAGGCTTGTAGTGCACAATAAAATTTTCCTTTATGTGTAGTTAAACACATGGGGAAATCTGATTTTTTTATTTTTTTTAACAAGGAAATTAGGCAAGTCAAGTTGACGTTGGGAGTTTTTTTTTTTGAGAAAAAGGTTAACTGTTGACGTTGTGCATCATATAACACATTATCAAAGGGCATAGGCCATTTGCCCTTAATGTAATCAAAGGGCACATGCCATTTGCCCTTAATGTAATTCTATTGGAGATTCTATTGGAGCCCACACTTTGGTCCTCACATCATGACTTCTGGCAGTCCCTCAAGTTATACTTTGTTTGGTTTATGTTTCTCCATTGCATTTGTTCTTTTACTAACTATCAACTAACAATGTTGTCATCTTTTTACAAAAAGAAAATAGTTTCATGTGCCTCATAATATCCTTGGGCAATCTCCATCAACATTGCTTTTTTCTTTATTATTGGATGCCCTATTCAAGAGGCACATTTAATATTGCTAACATCTTGTTTGAAATATTCTTAGCCTCTACCCTTCTTGTCTGTGCATTGACATTCAACTGTCAAAAAGCATGGCACCACAAGAACATGACCTATCTTTACATGCATCGCATGTCTTTGCATCTCAAAGGAAGGTCTAGTATTCACCTGTCAAAGACATCACACGTCTTGAAATGACATGCCTTTCCATGACTGAATGTTTGAGGGAAAATACTCCCCTTTAGAAATTGTTCATCACAATTAATAGAACAATTTAATGGCAGTTCATTATCACGTCCTATACTGGCAATCTGCTTATACTTACTATCTTTGCAAAAAATTGGATCCAAATGCACAATTAACTTTATGCTTGCTTTCATGCATCAATTTATTAACAATTTTTTTAAGTTCCCATTGTGTTATGGTAATTGTTCGAACTGATCCCTCTGTAACCAATTCTTATAGCCAAAGAACATTACACCCTCCTCATCAACCGGTCGCATTTCGGGACTTTGAGGAAGAGGCAAAAAACCCCAGTGTCTGGGGATCAGAACAAGGGACATCTGGGGCCCGAGATAATCTTGCTGCACTGTATCGACCACCTTTTTCCTTGATGTATCAAGGATCTTTCGAGAAGGTATTTCCTTTTGTTATTTCTTCTTCTTAGCTTTTGAATACTTAAAATCTTTTGAATACTTAAAATGTTATCTTTATAAAATTTTCTGATGCTTTTGAGTTTCACAGATGAATCCCAAGTCCAATGTCTTATTCTAGTCAAATTTTTCATAAATCCTTGAATATTCTCAAGGACATCCTTGTTTTATGGGATAAGACTAGGTCAGTTTGCTCGTTTTATGGGATAAGACTTGGGATAAGACTAGGTCAGTTTGCTCGAGACTCAGATGTGTCCCAAACTGAGTTTATGTTCTGAAACATTTGTTTTGATTGCATCGCTCTACTATTTGTATCTCTTGCCGAAGTAGGTCCATTGGCATTTCAGTGTGTTTGGGAATAATGAGGAATTTCCTTTGTAGGGTCCTTGTGATACCATGCTCACAAACTATGTTCTGTAACATAATGTTCTGAAACATTTGTTTTGATTGCATCACTCTATTATTTGTATCTCTTGCCAATAATGAGGAGTTTCCTTTGTAGGGTCTTTGTGATACCATGCTCACAAGGTATAGGTTCTGCGCTTTAGAAAACTAAGCTTAATATTAAAATTTGTGTATTTGTGCATGTCGCAACATGTTATAATGATCAGATCCACTAAAGGCTATCCCAAAGCTAAGCAGGAGCACTATTTTGATATTTTTCTTTTTCCTTTATCTAATGCATGAAAACATATACAGACCAATTTTGTCTCGACATCTGTCACCTGACATGTGAATAGTCACATTTGATTTTTTTTTTTGCACCTATGCTTTTTGTTTTTGCACCTATTCATATAAGCTTTATTCTATGGCCTGCTTTGAAGGATAGAAGCTACAGCCAGTGATTTTGTGATCCTTATCAAAAGAAATTCATATTTCTCAATTCATGTGGTGCTTAACATCTCTGAGCTCATTTTCAGTCTCATGCCATTTGTTTTCCCTGTAGCCATGATTTTGCATTTACTCTTATTGGTTTTCTTCTGATAATTGGTGTGTATTGTTTTTAGCTGTATCAATCATGTTATGTCCTAAAATTTGTGAATGGAATCACCTGAAATCATAGAAACTCCCCCTTCATTATTCATCTCATTTCCATTCCCTGTTTCTTGTTTGATTCATCTTTGTTTGTGTTGGCAATGTTTATCTTCTATTTGATAGTGGACTTATTTACGCAGGCAAAGATCGATGCTTCTAGGCAGGGTAAATGGCTCTTAATAAATATCCAGTCAACCAAAGAGTTCAGCTCACACATGGTAAAATATGTTCAGACCACAAGTTGCATTAACTATTTATTATGGAGTTATCTTATTAAATTCTGAATGAGACTCAAGTCTTTGAGTTTTGTCAATGAATGCAGCTGAATAGGGACACTTGGTCAAATGAAGCAGTGGCTCAGACAATCCGAACTACATTTGTCTTTTGGCAGGTTTGTGTTAAGCATATTTAATAAAATTGCTCATGATATGTTTTTTCACTATATCATGGATATATTCTCTATCTGTTTAGTGTAATTGAAGCAAACCTGTGGGTTAATTGCTCTTCTTTGAGAAGGTTACTCATTTCAAGTTTGATAACTAGAATTCACTTAAAGGATCAATATTCTTTTATTTTGATATATTTGACTTTTTCCTTCAATGTTTCAAAAAATAGGTCGCCTAGCACCTAGGCCACTGAACCATGCAGCCTAGGGGGCCAGGGCGCATCGCCTAGATCTTGGCCTGGTAGGCCTCCCAAGTGATTTGGGTGGGCTCCTGGTGCCTAGCCTAGGCACCTGCCTAATAGAACACTTCCCCAAGGGTGGAAAATGGCCCTAGGAAAAGGGAACAATGAAGCCCCCTCAAAAGGGGAAACAAGGGTTGGGAAGCGGGGTATTTGAGCTCCAAAAATTTGCAAAAAAGCCTATTTTGTGAAATTTTTGAGAGGTTGAAGAATTGCAAAGTTTGAGAAAACATCCCAAATTTCACTTTTGTTTTATTGGAATCATTTTGAACCATCAAAGGAGGTTATAAGAGGATTTCTTAGGTGATTTAGAGCTTGATACCATCCAAAAAAGATAAAAAATCGGGTAGCAAAGGTGAGTGGAATCTCTTCATAATTGAGATTCCTTCGTATTCCAAAATGTCTTCTGTAGATTTCATAAAAGTGAGGATCCAGGATGGAAATATGGTCTTCGGTCAGATAAAAATGATGAGCACAAAGTTTGCTGCACTTTTTGTGGTAAATATGCAACTACGGGGATTAATAGTTTAAAAAACACCTTGCCAGCATTAGAGGGTTGGTGCCCTATGCAAGGAAGTTTCAATGGAGGTTAATAAGGAGACTCTCGACCATTTGGATGCCCAAAAAAAGAGAAGGGCAACAGAGTATGTATGGTAGAGGTTAGGGCCAGGGTTACTATTTTAAGTGATAATGATGAGGATGAAGATGAAGGGGAAACTGAGGTGGCCCAAATGGGTTTTCTCAAAGTTTTAAGAAAGGAGTTAGTGTTTAAGAAGCCTTATATATATGGGCCTATGTATATGCTTATTTCTGCCACAATGGACGCCACTCTATAAAAAAAAAACAATTAACCATTGAAGATCCTTTCAAAAAGGTTGAAAGAGCCAGAGAAAGTCAGTATGTTGCTCTATGGAATTAACACATGGGGGATCCTTTTAATGTTGTTTGCTTAAACACCTGATGATGTTTATGATGCACAATATATTTTCTCCTTTCTGTATATAATATTGAGGAGGTTGGGGTGGAGCATGTAATTCAAGTAATAACAAATAATGCTCAACCAATCTGTTGCTAATTCATTGCACCAAAAGTGGCACCTTTCGTATCTTTTGGACACCTGCATAGACCTCATGTTTCACGCTATTACCATAATGCCAAGTTTAAAGGGGACACTTACTTCATCAAGCATAATGAGACGTTGAATGAATATTTCAATGAGCATGAGAAGAGGGATCCCATTGCATCCAAAGACATGAGTGATGCCAGTGAATGGTTGGTCTTCAATCCTGAGACTGAAGAGGTCTTCGCTAGTGAAAGTTTGACTTAGGATATGGTTAAGGAGGCTTCAGGGCCATCTTGTGCCCCTTGGGGGGGAGGTGGAGGAGAAGAGTGAGGGTGGTGATTATGGTGATGATGGCTTTGACTCAGATAGAGGTGCTCGTGACGAAGCCAAGAATTCCAGAAACAATAAAGTTTAAGATTAAAATTTTGTTAAATATTTTTTGTATCATTTTACTTATAAGACTTTCAGTCTTTCATTATATTGTGGTCTGGAATTTTGGATTTTGGAATGTGTGGGGAGATTGGAGTCTATGAACTATGGACTTGTGCTATTTTAGTTATTCAGCTTTAGTATTTGAGTACTTTATGTATATGTTCTTATATCTTTTGCTTTTTGGTCTTTTACTGAATTACTCCTTGTCGTTGTTAGTTACGTAACTTAGTTTTATTGTATACATTACTCTTAATTTAACACAATTGGAACCTTTTTTAAAAGAAAATCAATTGTGGAATGTCAAATGTGATTCTAGTTATTCAATGATTAAAATTGGGTGTGTCTAGGCACATATACTTGCATATATACCTGGTTAGTATACTTATAAATGCACAAATGATAGATAAATTCACATATATGTGCATTTAGAGCACACATATATGCATATAAACCTGTCTGGGGTGCCTCAAAATCTTGTTGCCTGCCTAACTTCTAGGCACCTGGACCTTGCCTGGGCGCCTAGCATTTTTTCGAACATTGCTTTAGTTTATTTTTTGGTGTGTGTCTGCACATTCATGTGCATTTCAGCATTGATTGTGGTTTGTACTAATTTTTTTTATATCTATCTGTTTCTTTTACCATGTGAGATGAATTTTATTGAGATGGGTTTATGCTGAACTGGGTATTGTTGTTAACGTAGTTGGAGAAATAACAAGCTGGATACTTCCTCCACCTTGCATAAATGCATTCATCAAAATTTTAGTGGGAATTTATTACATTGTCTGCCTTGGTTACCTTAAAAAGATCCATCTCATATGATACATATGATAACTGCATTAGTCTTTCTCGTTTCTCCTATGTTGTTATGGCTAATGGTTTAGTTCACCTAATGCTTATTTTGTACTGTTAAACTTCAGATCTATGATGACACTGACGAGGGAAGAAAGGTTTGCACGTATTACAACTTGACCAGTATCCCTGTTGTCCTTGTAATCGACCCTGTTACTGGGCAGAAAATGCGTGGTTGGAGTGGCATGGTTGGACCAGATCGTTTATTGGAGGTAATGAATGCAATATTCCATGTTTGTTGAATATGTTTGCCTCATTTCCTTATTCTTTTTCACAGTCTTACTTATATAACTCATTCATGTATTGTTATTGGAGTTGGAATTATGAGCAAATAGGTAGTGTGGATGTTACTCTTCTGCATGGTAAAAAGAATAAAAGGCACTTTGTTCTTTTACGTTTCTGAATCTTACAATATTTGTTTGATCCAGGATCTGGTGCCCTACATGGACAAAGGTCCCATGGACCATCATCCCATCCCTCATAAACGTCCAAGAGAAACTACGCCAGCTGCTAAAGCAACATTGCAAGGTAACTTTCTCAAAAAAAAAAAAAAGAAAACTTTACAAGGTAAATCTAGAAATCTGTTGTTTTCAATATGCCGATTTAGAGAGAGAGAAGAAATCTGTTGTCTTCAATATGCCACTTTAGAGAGAGAGAGAGTTTCATACTCTCTGCATTCCTTGCAGATAAGCATACGGAAGATGAGGATGAAGAAATTCAACGTGCCTTTGCTGCCTCTTTGGAGGGCATGAAAGAGCCTATGGTCCCTTCTAATGGGGGTGATAATAGGGAAACTGATAGCGAGGCAAAGGTAGAGCAGACTTGCCCTAGTACTACGAAGCCATCATATCCTCCTCTCCCTGAGGAGCCAAAGGGTGATAGAAGCCTTCTCTGTAGAGTTGGTGTGCGCCTTCCTGATGGCCGTAGGCTTCAGAGGAACTTTCTCCGAAAAGATCCCATACAGGTAACCAGTTTTCTGTCGATATGCACTACATCTTTCTAATGTCATAGAAAATTATACAATTAGACTGATTATCTTCGGTAGAAATATCACCCCTAGCCATCAAATGTGAAATTGCGTGGCTGGGTTTTGGCAATGATCATGCGCAAAGTCTACGAAATAGTTTTTCATACTGCATACGACGAATTGATGCACCCCTCATTGCACTTGGAGGGTGGGTCGCGTTAGCATCTCCCCATGTGGGAGAATGCACGTTATAATTGATGCACTCCTGCTGTCTGATACTGCATCTGGTGGCATGGGGTGTTTGTGACAGTGGTGGGATTCATCCCACCAAATTACATCTTCTACAACATGAGTTCATTACTGAAATGCGGCTGTAAAAGCTAAACCCTAATGCTAGAAAGAAATAATAATAACAACATTAAATATAGCAAGGGACATGATCAGATAAGAATTGTTTGGCTTTCTTATGTATTTGACAGTGGTTGGATCCTAACCAACTTTGAGATGTAGGGTATGTTGGTTATTATTGGTTGAGTCCATCTCAATGTAAGCCAATGGTTTCATGTGCATGCTTACTAGAAAGATGTGGCAATTTTTATGCCTGATCATTTTATTTATGATAAGTACATTAGGAGACCATACCCTGGGGCATGCTATATGGTATACCGATAGGTTATTTACTAGTCGTTCCAAAGTCTGGTGGAGATTAAGTGTACCTTGGAAAGTGTTGTCATTGGAACTACAGTCACTCTCCATTATCCATCATTGGAAATGCGGTTGGATGCTCCCATGGTCTCCTATATGGTGTATATACTTAACCACTATATGGTTTTTTGTGTAAAAGTAATGTGCTTTTCTGGGTTATTGCATTATTACTGCCTATAGTAGTTTTCAAATCCAATTTTTTATGCAAAACACTACCATATGTCCCCTCGCTCATATAAATTATGTGTTCCTCCTCTCCCAGCCGTCCGATCTAAATGGATGGCTGGGATAGCTTCAGTCATAATGTCACAATGTGACAAGTCTGCCTTTGACCGTTCGATCTCAATTGCATGGCATAGAGTATTTTATTTTGAAATCGTCTTTTATAAATCAGCTTGACTTGAAATTTGGGTGTGCCCTATTCTCACAAGGGATCACCTAAAGAAATATAAAAAGAATATTTTTTACCGTTGTTTTAAAATGTGGTATTCGGACCTGATGCGGTCCAGGATGCGGCTTGATGCAGGCCCAATGCAGGCGTATCACGTCCACTGCTGCAAATAACTGGAAAAAAATCTAAAAAATATAAAAATATTATAATACATAGGAAAAACATAGATGTGATTTATGTGATAGCAAGAATTTTAATTTATCTTTAATATATTATTTGTCTGAGACTGAGTCCCCTGGTAGCCCAATAAAGAGTAATAGTTTGTTGTTCTAATTTATGATCTTTAGTCGTTTAGATTGTCTAATACAATTAATATGTAAAACAAAGCAAGCTATTCCATCACATATAACATATCTAAATTTCAAACTTCACATAAACATCCAAAATTCCAAACTTTTAACTCCAAACAGGCAACCACCAAAAGTTTATGAAGACGTTAAAAAACAAAAGATAATCAACTCTGAAGTCAACTTTCAATCAGACAAGTCATATGATAATTCTTCATGTGCATATGCATCTCCCATGTCTGAAGCCAAGGATGTAAAGCACCATCATCGCTATCGTTAACCCCCTCCATGTGTACTTTGTCTTCCTCAATCTCCTCTAAGTTAGCCTCCTCCTCCTTCATCTCTGGAATTGATGTACAACAAGACCCGCCTTTTTTCCTTTGCATTCTAGTGCTAAGGCCTTACTTCTTCTCCAGCTCCTGTGGCTTGCTCAGCATCATACCAAGTTAGTTCGTCACCCTCAAACCCAAACTCTGATTGGCTGATCAACCGCCCACTCACTTGTGCCCTCGCTCTAGGGATGATCCAATCAAATTGGGTTGTTAACCATGCACTTCATGTACCTCTCCCTAAGGCACTCATTATATTGCACATACACGAGATCATTCAACTTCTCTTGCTCAAGCATGTTTCTGTTTTTGGTATGGAGCTGTGATACAAAGCAAGGAAATAAATAAAGAAAAAAATGCTATTTCCTACAAACTAGTCTTCCTAGATTTCAGAAAGTTGAAAACTTAGAAATAAAGACTAATATGCTCAAATGCGCTCCAATTGCATTCATAACCAGATGAAGTACATGTGACACTCAATACTGCTCCAATTGCGTTCATAACGAAATGAACTACATGTGACACTCAATACTTGAATAGTGAGATGTTAAAGATTTGGTGGCTCGCTTCCATATGATGCCCACCATGCAGCTGCATATTATATGGATATTTAATTATTTATACAATGGAACTATACAAGTACAACAAAATAAAGTAGACACTTTTTGGTTACTCGATTGTGTAGCATCCCTATTGTGAATTGCAATGTCTTTTCCAAAGTTTCCTAATGCACTCTTGAACTTGATCAACTCATGACTTTGGATCTCATCTAGGATAGCTGGGTCAAGGACCAACTCTCAAGTGCATCTAGGAACCCACCATTTATTGTATTATTTGATTCAATGGATGGCTGCTTATAGTGAAGAGATGGATTCAAAAAGTAACCAACTGCACGGAGGGGTTGGTGAAACTTGTTATCCCATTGGTCAATATAGCATGTATATGGTTTCATCATTCTTCCAAACCATTTTGATCTCTTCTTTTGCCTTAGTCATTGCCCCATGTATGGAGCCATGGCGTCTTCACTTCACCATCAACCAATCGAAGTACTTTTTCAAAAGGGCGAGAAACATCCAATGCATAGTATACTTAGGTCTAAATTCCAAATAGATGTACTAAGGACAACATCTTGATGCTTTGACCACCTGCTTCTATTCGACTTTTCTGAAGTGAACATGGTCCTTACGGCAACTTTTTTCTTGCATAGGCTTTGAAGAGTGAGAAATGCTATGGTAAATCTAGCCACTTCTGGTCTCACTATTTATTTGTTCTTTGTAAACTCCCTCATCATCTTTAGGACTAGGGTACAAATATAGACAAAACCAGTGACGAACTTAGCTTTTGTAATTACCGCCATTTGGACGTCTTACCTTTGTTTTCTAGCATGAGATTGAGGCATGAAAATATCCAAAGATATTTCTTGTTTTAGTTAATACCTAAGAACGACCAAAAATGGTTCCAATGGTTTTTTGGGGGGTTATATACCTCCTCAAACCATTTCCCCACCTTTGCAGAAGGGAATGACCACCCATACCCATGGGCCAACTTTTCACCCACGAGCATGGGCAGCATATGCGCCCGCATATGTAGGTGATGCGCCACATGTGTTGGTGCATCGGTCGATGTATTGCATGTGTGGGTGCATCACAAAATCCCTCATATGCGGCCAAAAGCACATCTGAAGCCATGTGATAGAATCCACATAACACATAATGTGCCCACAGAATGCATTATACGACCGCATTTTAAAACTATGTTTATTATAAAATGAAATGTTCAAAATACTCTAGCAAGTTGTAGGGATATTTTGGTCATTTTATTTTATCATGAATATGTGTTTTTTTTAGGTGATGCTCTATGAAAAATGGGCATGCTGTAAATTTCATGTGATGATTTATAAGATTAAAAATAAACATAAAATAATGTTACGCATGACAAGCTTTCCCAGCCATTGACAGGGGGGCATATAGAGGAGACAAAGAAATTTCTCCTGGTTTTTATAGGGAAAGAAGAACATGGTTTTGAATTTCTTTTTTTGTTGGAATTTTTTGTTCTCCTAAATAATATTATGAGTTAATAGCCCTAACAAGGAATATAGAGGAAATATGCAATGCAGAAACTTGATTGGGATTTTCTGTTGGCTGCAGTTACTGTGGTCTTTTTGTTGCTCTGAAGTGAAAGAAGCCAATATACAGCCCTTCAAGCTAACACAGGCTATCCCCGGAGCTTCAAAGTATTTGGACTACAACAGCAATCTGACCTTTGAAGAATCTGGCCTCTTGAACTCCATGATTTCACTAACTTGGGACTGATTGCCACAATATCTGTGACCCTGTGCCCCCCTTTTTTCATATTTATTTGGGCAGATCTTTTTGTTCTTTGGTTCCCTCTAAATTTATCTTGTCCTGTCATTTTCTTTATTTTTTGCAAATGCTTGTTCAGTTTTTTTATTTATAGAAATTTAAAGTCTCTTTGGTCTTGAAAGGGAGAACCCTTGAAATACTTTTCTCAAATTGATACAAAACCAAAAGAGGAAATGTTGATTTGGGAGATTATGTCTAATGTTTGCATTGCTCTTCAGGCTGGGAAAAGTATCATACCCTGGATTTGTGGCGTATGATTCAGTATTTCTATGTGTTTCGAAGGGAATAAATGTTGTTGCATGGACATGGGTATGTGTGTTAGTGTTTAATATGCGCATTAGGTATCGGAGTGTCAAATTTCTCATGCCGTGAAGGAGAGGTTTGGAAATAATTGATTAATATCTCATTTCATGATGAGCAAGAGAATCAATTATATTGTCTATGAGAGATCATTTATCATTTGTACATAGAGGTCACAATCATTTTAACTCATTAGATGTAAAATTGGATGGTTTGGGGTGAGTTACGAAGTTTGAGAATTTTTATTTTTATTTGGAACTTTATGTCTATTCATGACACTTTTACCATCACCCATTTTGAAATTTAAGGGACAATAATGATAGTGACAATACCGTCAATGTTATCTTGGAAGTTTCTGAAATATTTTTGTCTACTCTAAAGTGATAAAAGGAGATTGAGTCTCCACATTAATGTAATCAACGGTTGATAAACAAGAAGGATAGTAAATACTGTCTTGGTATGTGTTTTGGTATGTGCCTGACATGGGTATAAGACCCAGACATATGAATCCATGTTACATGCCATGGATACAACACCCAAACATATGAATCCATGTGACAGGAAAAGATAAGATTAGATTTAGTTTGTGGGAGATCATTTGGCTATGGTTATCTAGGCAATTGTATTTTGCTACATGTGATTACTCTAAATTGCACGTTGTTTGGAATAGTAGGTGGTGGATACATTGGCATCTTACGTTTTTGCAATGGTGTTATGGTATGGGATGTATATGTACATGGGGCATCCATCATAAGTTGTCCACTACAATGGGTGGTGATAACCGTACCCAAGTGAATGTATGCTGTGGAAACTCTGGTTGACTTCTTGGCAAGAATGGACTCTGGGTGCTTGATTGTGTATTGCATATCGTGCACAAGTCCTATGTGTTTTATTTAAGTATGCAGTTTCTATAGGGCCTAGGCTTCATAAAAACAAAGTTAAGCCTCACCTCTAGACCCTCGTCTAGAAAGCACTTTGGCAATTGGAAATCTCCATGATTGTTATAAAATTAATTTCCAACACCGACTATGAAATTTGAAGCTCAAAAAATAGTACAAATCTTGCGGATTCATGAACAATTAATTTTTGAGTGAGATGGACAGTTAAGATAATATGTTATAATAAACACTCTTTTTACCGCTTGAATTCTTTTTTTTTTTTCCACAATTATAATGGTCAAGACCACAATGATTGCTTTGATGGTTTTCCAACTCAAACTACAATTTTAGATGAGTTTTATGGTGAGGCTTTACTTATTTTGATAGGGTTGCAATCCCATCAAAACATTTTCTTGGATGCAGTTTCTATAAGGATTGGGCTCTATGAAAACCCATTTGGAAAAAACTGGGCAATCTAATCGATAACCGGCCGGTTAGATCGGAACCGGCCACTTGCCGGTTCTGGTTTTGGGCAGTTTTGGTGATCGACTGGTATTTTAAAAAAACATAATTAAAAAAATGTATATAAAATCTCAAAAATAAGGAATTTAGTTTGTAATGTATTTTTTTAATATTTTTTACATTATAGTAAAGACTGTTTTGGTCCTTAATACTTGTTTTTATATTTTCACATCTTTTTTAAAAAAAAATTAAAAAATACCCTTAGACACAAATCGATTTTTTTAAATCCCTTTTTCATTAATTTTCAACTTCATTTGAATGTGTTTTGTTTTAATCATTTGTTTCACATTTTAGTAGATTCTTTTTTTTTTGTGCCTTCTTTAATTTTTTTCTAACAATTTTTTGACTGCCCGAGACTTGCCCCGTTAGAACGGTTGTATCGACTAGTTTACCGGTTAGGCCAGTTAAACTGCTTCCGGCCCCATGTTCGGTTAACCGTTCCGGATCGATTTTGCGAATACTAATGAAAACAAAGTAAAGCCTCACGTCAAGTCCTCATCTGAAAAGCACTATGGGCGTTGAAATCTCCATAATGGCTTGAAAACCAATTTTCTCAAAAAATGATATAGATCTTAAAAAAAAAAAAAGTCGGTGCAACTCTAACGGATCTATGAGCACTTATTTTTAGGGGAAAATGGATAGTCAAGATAATGTATTATAATATATACTACTTTTAGGACTTGAACTTTTAAGTTTTGTTTTCACAACCATCATGGCCAATGCTGAGTTGAGATGACAGATTTGAAGGCTTTTTTACTCAGAAACTGCAATTTTTGGTGAGGTTTGGGGTGAGGCTTTACTTATTTTAACAGAGTTACAACCCTATCAAACCATTTTCCTTTATTTAAGGGTGTAGTTTGTATAGAGCCGAAGCTCTAAACAATCAAAGTAGAGCATACCTTCAAATAGTATCGAGAGATGTGGTTTCAATACTTAATCTTTTTGATAGCCTCAAAATATAATTTTCATATCTAATTATAAAATTTAAATCTTCAAAAATAGTATAAATCAAGCAGATATATGAAAACTTAAAAATCTTGAAAATTGATGGTCCAAGAGTGCATTATAAGATGTACTATTTTCGGGACTTGAAATTCATTTTTTTCTTATGTCCATGCATCTTGATATCGAGATGATCAATTTGAAGATTCGTGAACATCAAAATAACCTCTTATAGTCAAATTTTTTAGGTGCACTCTAATTTGATTGTTTAGAGCCTCAGCATCGTATAAACTTTTTCCTTTATTTAATGGAAGAAGTTTATATAAGGATTCTACCTTATAATGTAGAACTACGGATGCCCCTCAAAAATCTATCGGAAAAGGTAATTTTAATGTTGAAAAACTTATTGATTGATCATCTTGACATCGAGATGTATGACTATAAAAAATAAAAAAAAATTTAAGTCTCAGAAATGGTGTATTTTACAACATATTATCTACACCATCCATTTTCAAGATTTTCATATGTTTATAGATCTACTTGATTTTAACTATTTTTGAAATTTAAAATTTTATAATTAGATATAAAAATAGATTTTGAGATAATCCTAAGAACATTTTACATCAAAACTATATACCAAGATAAAATTTGAAGGTGCACCTTACCTCTACACCTACGGATGCATCCGTATGCAAACTTGACCCTTATTTAATACCCATATTTTTGTAACATACTAAAGAGTTGTAATTTTTATTGGGGAATGTATACAATGAGGCCATTTACTTTTGATACAAGGAAGTCACAATCATTATTGACCATTAGATTTGAAATCGGGTTGTTGAGGATGTATTATTGTTTATGCATGAAGTCTAAAACAAAACTTCTTGCACACTTCCGCATCTAATAACTAAAAGTGATTCTGACTTGTGTGTACCAAAAATAAGTAATCTCAAAATTTACAACCCCATTATGATACGGGTGTTTACCTTTCGTACGGTGACTAAAGTGTCTGAGTCAATTACCCCACCTAGAAAGACCTACAACTTATTAGAAAATCTTCAGCTGTAAACGCCCTGCCCTGCCCTGCCCTGCCCTGCCCTGCCTTACCCCTTTAAAGAAAATCATTAATAAGGAATTCTGAGGCTTTTTTGATACCCAAAGTATGCATTCACCGAGAATCAGTTCATGCCCCTTTTTAACAAAGGTTTAGAAAGATCAACTTCTCCCATCGATTCTAACATATGCTACATAAAAATGAGTAATTGTGTCCTCGACTTAAAGCATCAGAAATACCAATTTCAAAATTAATCTTTTGGATACTATAAATCTGTACAGTGTGAAAAGGGAGATATTAAATTTTTTTACAATGAGAATATAAAAGCGATATTAAATATTTTTATAGCAAGAATATAAAAAGAAATAATAGAAAGTATATAAGTTTCTAGTATGTCTAAACATGTTGCTTATCCATAGTAGGCAATCATTGTTAATCAACCACAACCATCTATTAAATGCCCAGAAGGTTTGGGAATTTATTTGCATTTCCAAAGAACCACTCTACGACCAGTTTTCAAAAGGTTTTCCTTCAAATTACTCAATATAATTTTTTTTATATTATTATCATTATTGATATTATTGTTGTTGTTATTATTATATATATATATATATAACAGCAACAACAACAACAATAACACTAATGATAATATTATAAAAGATAAAATATATTGAGTAATTTGAAAGAAAACCTTTTTAACACAATTTAAGGTGAGGCTTTAAATAATCACATTAAGGTGCATCTCAAAAATTCACTAGAAGAGGTTGTTTCGATACCCAAAACTCCTCAAAACGAATATCTTAACCTCAAGATGTATAGACATGACAAAAAATCGATTTCAAGTATTGGAAATAGTGCATCTTGTAATGCATTTTTTATACCGTCAAGTTTCAATATTTTCCGATCTGCTTGGTTTACACTATTTTTGGAGCTTTAAATTTTATAATTAGATATGAAAAAAAAATTTCTGGCCATCACAAATATTTCCAATGCCAATGCAATTTGAAGGCACACCTTACTTTGATTGTTTAAGGCCTCCGCCTTATACAAACTACACCCAATTAACGTGTTTTTTTTAGGTAATTCAGTGAGAAAAACAGGCCCCTACCGCTTTTTTCAAAGTAGATTAAGAATTAGCTTTTTGTGGTTGTGGGATGAAGTTTTACATCTTACTGTTAATAATTTGGGGTCCTTTAGGCCCTGTATTATTATACCTTGTTGAGGTTGGATATGGCAGATGTAGGGTAGTGGTGGAGGATCAATCATGAGGAGCAGGTTGCATATAGCCTTTTTCTTCATAATTTGTAGAGATGGGTAGATTTTGTGAAGGCTTTTGGTAATTTCGAGTGAAAAAGAAATGGAAAAAAAATATTACTTTGCTATGCTATTGCTTTCTTTCTGGGCCGGCGGGGGGGCTGGCCTTTTTCCTTTTCTTTTTCATTGTGATCGTAAACACAACACAAAAAGGAGGACAGAATCTTATGTGAAAAAGTTACAATTGTTGCAGCCACTGACCTTAGA